GAAGAATGTCAGCTGCATGCACAGCATCCTATTTTGACCCTCCCCTACCCATTTCCATCAGTGCTGGGGTCACATTAGCTTAGTAATGGAAAGAAACTGAGGGTGAAGAGAAACAATGGAATACTAGTCAGTACCAGTGTGCAAAAATGTATTTGCTTTGGAAGTATAAATCACCTCTAATGTTGGGTGTCCTACATGTGTGGATGGGGCTTCGTTATATAACATTATTAGAATAGTTTTTTCACATTTTAGAATGAGGTACCCTTTTAAAATTATGGACAGTCTAGAGGCACCCCATTTAGAATGGGGCGCCTCAAGACTATCCATAATTTAAAGGGTGCCTCGGGACTGTCCATCATTTTAAAGGGTGCCTTGGCTGAAAATAGGTTGAGGAACACTGGTATAGGTACCCTAATTCCAGATGACAATATTCCTTCTGATAATGCCACACCCTCTGACACACCACGGCTGGAAAAGCAGGATTTATTTGGGCTCCATGCCTAACAAGGAAACAGTAAGAAAATGGCAACAGCAATAGATTATAACAGAACAAAAAAATCTGTACAATGCAACAAACAACGAGAGGGCCAAGTATTTTTTGTACCTGGGCCCAATATCAGGGGAGTCCTAACTAAATATAATACCTTTTTTAATACATTTTTTATTTGTAAGTTTGGTTTTCACCTAAAATGCCATAGATGAAAGATGTATGGGAATATTGTTTTTTCTTATTGTTTTTTCTTCACATAAATGCAACTTAAAGCAAAAAGGTCTTTGAGACTCTCCAAACCTCCTACTGCCAAGTTTGGTAATAAATGCTGGGATACAGAGTCCAAAAACTATGTTCCAAGGTCGGGTGGCACTGTCCCATTAAGACTTACCAGTATACATTTTCCCCTCCCACTCTCTGATGACCATAACCAGTGACATTTTTTTTTGTTATAGTATTTTATATAGTGCCATCAATTTACACAGTGCCTTTCATATTTGTTGTACATTCACATCAGTCCCTAACCCTCAAAGGGCATACAAGCTAAGGTCCCTAACTTACTAACAAACTAAGGTCCCTAACTAACTTTTTTTTTTGTCAACGCTTAGTTGAACAAGCTGAAGTTTTATTTATTTATTTCAGGTACTTATATAGCGCTGTCAATTTACACAGTGCTTTACATATATACTGTACATTCACATCAGTCCCTAACCCTCAAGGGGCATACAATCTAAGGTCCCTAACTCACATTCATACATACACATACTAGGGCCAATTTAGACAGGAGCCAATTAACCTACCAGCATGTCTTTGGAGTGTGGGAGGAAACCCATGCAGGCACAGGGAGAACATGCAAACTCCAGGCAGGTGGTGCTGTGGTTGGAATTTGAACCAACGATCATAGTACTGCCAGGTGGCAGGTGGAAGTGCTAACCATTTAGCCCCAGTGCTGCCACTGACATTGTCAGTGACACTGGACTCTCTATGATTGCTTTGGCCTTACACCGACACTGCAGCAAGCTCTAGCAAAAGCAGGGTTTCTGACTCAGTGGCACCCTTCAACAGTCACCTCTCATTCTGCATTTGAGATTATGCCACTCCAGGCTTCTCCTTCCTTTTCCTCCTTTCTGCAGCATGCAATTCTCCTGGGACTTCTCCATGCTGCAGAAAGGAGGAAAAGGAAGGAGAAGCCTGGAGTGGCATAATCTCAAATGCAGAATGAGAGGACAACTTCTTTTACGTGGAGAACTGTCAGTTCTCCACGTAAAAGAAGTTGTCCTCTTGAGACTACTTCCCCCACAGTTACAAGAGACCCCCAGCAGTCTTTCATAGTTCCCGGGCTGCCCATCAGCCAATCACAGTTATGTCTGTATACTGGGCAGTGGATGGGACTCTCCCCTTCAGTTGCAGCCCTATCACAGCCCCTGTGTCTTCTTATTGGCTCTCTCCTGTTTGTCTCCTGTCCCCCTCACATATATAAACAGTCACCTCCCTGTTATAACTCAGCACAAGAGGATATTCCTGTACAGCTGCCAGACTAGAGTCTACCTCTCCTCTCCCGAATGGCTGTTCCTTCCTTCACTTGTGACCAGGGAGATGGCTGCTGTGTGAAGTGCCACAGCCTGGACCAGGTGGCTCTGGCTAAAGAATCCCGCAGATCAGGGCATACATGTAGTTTTGGTCAATCTAAATGAAATTGTAGATGCAGATCAGCTGAAAACACACTTCACATTTATGACATATATTGAAAATAGGCCTTACAGGTGACAACATCTTACATTTACCTGAGGCTGACACTTCCTTCTTTTTGTAGTAAGAAATAGTGCTCTCATTACATAGTATTGCCTCATTCAATACTGCAATAAAATGATAAATTTGTCCACTGGGGAATACCTCTTTAAGGACAAATGAACAGCAGCGGCTCGGTAGAAGTAGAAACAGCAGCACAGCTGGGACATGACATTGCCAGCTAATGTGTAGAACTGTATTAAAGTGCCTCAAGCTGGGTGTGAGCTGACATACGTCTGTGATCAGGAAGGAGACCAGTCAGGCTGAAGGGGTGATTCCAGATACTCTAGTGTTCCACCATGAAAGCAGCCTTTCAGGGGATGTCCTTTATCTGATAACATGTAAAAATGTAATTGTAAGATACATTTTATAGCTGAGATCCAGGAAGACATAAAAATACACTATCAATTAAAACCAATAAAGTGTTAATTCACCTTTACCAAAAAAACTGCCCATGTAGATAGGGGATGTCTGTAGCTAAAAACAAACTGTGCATCTTTGACTAAAGTTGAATAATGCCCTTGCTATAAGTATAGGCCAATTACATACCTCCTGAAGCCTGACCTGAAAACTCCCAAGAGGTCGCTAAGTGAGGCCTAGTCATTACTGCTCCCCTCCGACATCACAGGAGTGCGCACTCAAACGTTTAGTTCAGAGCTACTGGGGAGGAGAGAAAGAGCATGTGTGGGGGTGTGAATCAGAGAAAAATTCAATCTAGTAACGATTTGGCCTCAATTAGCAACATCCTGGGTATATTCCAGGCAGGTTTCTGGAGTTCTGTAAATGGCCCACCCATAGCAAGGGCATTATGCAACTTTAGTCGGAGCTGCACAGTTTGGTTTTATCTACAAACACCCCTTACCGACATAAACATTTTATTGTAAAGGTGTGTAGCCAACTGCTGGCAGTTCCATGTAGCTGCCAATATTTCAGCCTTCCCCTCCCCTGCTTACACTGTTAAGCAGAGAGCCAGAGCAGCCTGTGTAAAATCCTCTGCTCATGCTGGCTGTGCTGAGACTCTGTATGAGACTTCTCCCCTTGCTCCCCCTCCCTTCCTAGCAGCAGAGCAAAGTACCAATCAGGGAGCAGGAGAGCTAGCCAAGCAATCTCATATACTGTAATGCAAGACTCTAGCAAACACATTCGCCATCTGGTTCCTTAGACACTACCATCTTTATACAGCATTCCACTGAGCAGTGCCACTTCACCTGTTCTGGTTTACCCTATTAGCTCAGATCCATCCCTCCACCTTCTTGAAATGGAAATATCTGGAAGCCACTCAATATCACCATTAGTGTACAACTGAAAGGACCCCAACCACATCAGCAGAAATAACTTTTTTTTTTCCTTTTTTTCTTGGAGATTATTCCTCCTGTTCCATAGCTTTAACATACACTTTAGCAATTTTTGCTATGGCTGCAATGGCTGCAAGTTGTCCAAGTTCTGAAGCAGTAAAGCTTCCCCAGTTGGTATGATGTTCTTTTCCTGAAGTGATGTCTTCAGTTTGCACCAAACATGTCTACTGTTACTGTGGCCAAACAACTCTATCTTTGACTCACAAGTCCCTTGCACATTGTTCCTAAAAACCTGCTCTTTGCATATTTGTTCTATAGCAAACAATAGTCTTGCTTTAATGTTCCTTTTGAACAGCAAAGACTTTTTCTGACACACAGCGCATGCAGGTTATATTGGTGCAATCCTTTTGATTGTTGATCCATGCACTTTGACCCCAACTGTGCAGCCACCTGCTTATCCCACAATTAAATTTTGGGATCCTTGGAGGCTTATTTTGGTACCAATCCATCAACATATGGGCTGAATTTGCTGGACTGCACAGTCCTGGACAATGTAGCATAGTGCTAATATACAGTACAGTATAACATTTTACTGATGACAGAGATTGGTTTGGATAAAAGTTAACTCTTGGGCACTTCTTCACTGGCCTTTTGAGTTTCAACAAGTCCACATGTGGCATAAATATGGGCAAGTTTAAGACCTGATTGCTGTGGTTGGAGCCACTTAGAGTGTTGCTTGTGGAATCGCTGTAACCGGACGTTGGAAGGCTAATATCTGTGCTGCTGCTGATCACAACTACCAGTGGAGATTAACTTTACCAAGACACCCAAGATGCCACCAGTCATGGATCATGTCACTGATTACAGACTTGTCACCATACATGAACTCTTACTTGATTTCAAGGTATGCATGGGCCAATTTATAGTTAGTCAGGGTTGTAAGGAACTGTTCATAATTTATCCTGTATCATGTTTGCAATAAAGAAGAGTAAAGACAGTTAAACTTTTTCTGAGCCTGGTTTGAAGTTATTTCTAAAGGAATGCATAGTGGGGATGGTTCATACAAAGAACCTGGGCCTGTAACAGCATTAAGGGATATGAAGTATACATGTAAAAGTAAAAAATGTATCAAAACACACCCGCGGTTGCGTTTTTGGTGTTTTTTTTTTAGTCAATTTCTTTTTTTTTACAGGTCCAAAACACACCAGCAATGGGGCAAACATACATACGTGTGTTTAACGCATTTTTGCAACACAGCAGTGTGAATGTAGCCTAGGACAGGATCTATGTTACTGGCTGAATCACCAGGTGAAAATAAAGGAAAAGGTGAGCTGAAATATATGTTTTTTTGTTTTTTGGGTTTAATACTGCTTTAAAGTTAAACTTTAGTCAGAAAATTAAGTCCGGCTAGATCACTTCATGCTGACCCATTTTGTAGGTACAGCCAGGGGCAGACTGACCATTTGGAAACTCCGGCACTGCCTGGGGGCCCGGGGTCAGTAGGGGGCCCCATAAGATGCCCCTGGTACCATTTTCATAGACTTTTTTGAGTTTGGGCAAGGACACAGGGGCCCCATGATCCCCTATTGCCCGGGGGCCCCATGAGTTGTCAGTCCACCCCTGAGTACAGATATGTAAAAGTTTTAAATAAGTGCCTAAACTATTTAAAATCCAGTAATACACCATCTCACCCTGCTTTGCACATGCTAAGTCACTCTCTATTTTTTGCCACTGTGCCGAAAATCCAAACCACTATAGGCCAGTCTGCTGACAGCTTAAAGATTTACTGTTTCTCCGGGGCTCTGTGCTTCAGCAAAATGGCAGCCTGCAGCAACAAGAAACAGGAACAATGCTGGAGGCAATTTGCAGCACACACTAATTTTGGTTGCATGATTATTAATGTGGAATGTATGTTCCTTGCTAAAGAACATTAAGTTATTATGGGTAAAGTTCTTCTTCAAGTGTGTCTTGTTTCTGATGAGTGCTTATTGCAATATTTTATTGAATAAATCCCAACATTGCAGTTTGTGAATGATTACAAGACCATGTGATCCTTTGATTCTATACATTTCTTAGTTAGATACACTGACAGTTGATAGTAGTTGTGCACACAGAAATTAGAAGTTTGCTGTTTGAAAACAACATAGTGAGACTGTTTATGAATCACACATAACTCCTCATATATATTTATTAGCATTTTGTACTGTATACACATAAGTCATACACATAATTGTGTTAAGTATGGAATGTTTTTAAAGGCTTCTGCATGCATGTGTACATTCAGTAACTTGTTTTATGATGCATTTTTGCATATATTCATGTATGCTTAAATATTTTTTTTACATATATAAAGTCTAATCATTTTTTCATGTCCACAGAGTCATTAACCACTTGCCCTCCAGAGGATTTACCCCCTTCCTGACCAGGCCATTTTTTGCGTTACGGCGCGTCGTTACTTTAACTGACAATTGCACGGTCATGCATAGCTGCACCCAAATTGAATTTACGTCCTTTTTTTCCCCACAAATTGAGCTTTCTTTTGGTGGTATTTGATCACCTGTGCGGTTTTATCTTTTGCGCTATAAAAAAAAAATCGACAATTTTTTAGAAAAATTTTTTTTTACTTTTTGCTATTAAACATGTCCAGTAAAAAAAATTTAAAAAAATCTAATTTCATCATAAATTTAGGCCAAAATGTATTTTGCTTCATGTGTTTGCTATAAAAAATCCCAATACCTTTAAATGAATTGGTTTGCGTGAAAGTTATAGCATTTACAAATGGCGGTATATATACTGGGATTTTTTTTTTAATTTTTACTAGTAATGGTAGTGATCAGTAACTTATAGCGGGGCTGCAGCACGCATTCTGACACTGGTGGGAACTGACTTGGTGTCACTGACATCCCCAGTGACACCAATACAGTAATCAGTGCTAAAAAAAAAAGCACTGACACTACTAATGGCACTGGGCAGGGAGGGGTTAACATGAGGGGTGATCAAAGGGTTAACTGTGTGCTGGGAGTGTTTTACAAGGGGGTGGTGTGTGTGTGATCCACTGTAATCACACTACTGTGGATGGCTGTGCTGTGCCACAACAGTGTGCCCGAGATGACAGAGAGGAGGACTGTTAGTAAACAAAACAGTCCTCCTCCCTGTCGGAGATCCTCAGAAATCACTGGGCGCCGGCGAGTAATTACCGTCATGCACCACCTACCCAGAAATGCAAAATCACATTTATATACTTGATTTTGCACACCGCTGCCACCCTGTAGCAGTATTTCTGCTATAGGTCAAACGGCAAGCAGTTAAAACACGTGATACACATTTTTAAGTATTCACCATTCTTTTCAATAGGCCTGCTTACTGTGTTAAATGAAAATTCATCACATAGATGTTTCAGCATCAGTATCGTCCTCATCCTTCCCTTCTCTCTTTTACTTACCTGAGCCCTCATTCCATCCAACGCTGTGCCTGTCTGCAGCTCTTCACTCCCCTCACTTCTTGGTCTCACAGGCCTTGCAGAAGCAGCAGGAGCCAAAGTGATGAAAAAGTGGGGGGCAGGGATGAGTCCTGCTGTCTGTGTCAATAGACACATGCAGCTAGGCTTGGGAGCGAGCCCACAAGAGTGCCCCCAAAAAAAGAGGCTTTCTGTGGGTACATTCAGTGGAAGGGAGGAGCCAGGAGTGCTGGCAGGGGATCCGAGAAAAGTTGGTTCGGGGCCACTTTGTGCAATTTCCTTGCACAGAGAAGGTAAGTATAAACTTTTTTTTTCTTTTAAATATTTACAAACACGTTAACAGGCTACTGTCCACATCTCTTTATTGACATTAATACATTCTCTTCTTCCATTTCATTCCTGATTTTTTTTTTAATCATTTCTTCCTGTTTTCCTTTTCATGTGGCCAAGCCAATAACCGCCAATAAACGCGTCAAAATGCTGCTAAACGCTAATGCAAAAATGCTAAAAAAAACCTGAAAAACTCATGTTTTTAACAAGACTTTACACAGCTAACATTACCGGCGTTATCAAAACACCCAGTGTGCATGGAGCCTGATGCACATTAAGGCTAGGTTCACACTAACTCATGTTCTGAAAAGTGGTCTGCGGTGGATTGCTTTTCAGAAGCAGCTTCAGTCAGATGTACAGGAGGTAATCTTGTTGTCTCCTGAATGCCTGATGTTTTTTGTTGTTTTTGTTAATACAACGTAATTGTGAGCCAAGCGTTTGGCTTGCAGTTGTGGAATGGCCCTATTGACTTGAATGGCCAAGTTGGACAGATGGTGCTGCCTGCCAACTCAGCATATATCATAATCTCATAGGATATGTTCCCGGAAATGGTAAAAAAAGGAAGCAGGTGCTGTAGCAACTATCAGCTGGAGACCGGAGACATTATCAACATTATCAACAAGCCCACCCTGGATTTTTAAGATAATTGTCCAAAAGCTTATTCAGCTTATCACACCACAGTGGTAAGGTGCAATGTGTTGGAGCCACTCAGGACCCCTTCTTCAGGCATGTGATAAGACATAAAAAAGTAAGCTGGTGTAGCAACTACCAGGGGGAGACCAGTAACATCATAAGCAAGAGTATATATCGTCAGCACACCATGGACCTTTAAGATATGTCCAAAAGTTCATTAAGTGGTAAGGTGCAATGTTTCAGAGACACGCAGGACCCCTATCATCAGGCAGATGAGAAGACATAAAAAAAGTAACAACTACCAGCTGCAGATGGGTAACATAAGCAACAGTATATATTGTCAACACACCATGGATCTTTAAGATAATGTCCAAAAGTTTATTTAGCAGTAAGATGCAACATTGCGGCGCCGTGCAGGACCCCATCATCAAGCATGTTTTATCACATCTGACAAAGGGGTCCTGCGTGGACCCAAAAGGTTGCACCCTACTGCTGTGATGTGATCACCTGCATAAAAGTTTGGAAATTATCTTAACCAGTTGCCAACTGGCCCACAGTAAAAATACTGCAGGCTGACGGCTCTCCTGCACCCGATCATGTACATGTACGTGATCCGGCTCTTCCGGATAGGGAGCGCATGCATACCTGCCACCCTGGCTGTGCTGCCATTCGCTCAAGCCAATGCCAATTAGCAAGTCCCACCAGTGACTTATGGTAGGGACCCTCTTATCTGATGATGGGGAGAGCTCTGTGTTGGTAAACAGCACATAGCTCTCTACTAACAGCAGTAATGTGCCCTTCTTTTTTCTCCCTGCAAAGCAGGGAGTAAAAATCGGCACATTGCTTAGTGAAAACACCACACAGTAAACACAATACACATTATTAGGCACAAAGTTAATCCTTTGATTGCCCCTAAATGTTAACCCCTTCTTAGCCAGTGTCATTAGTATAGTGACAGTGTATATTATTAGCACTGATCACTGTATTAGTGTCAATTGAGATGTCAGTGTCATTTAATCAGTTCCCACACAGCATCAGTTAGTGTCAGATTGCTTCCTTTGGATCAGCTGTGGTTAAGGATTGTGTTTATAGGATTGTATGTGTATGTATATATATATTTTTCCCCCTTTTAATGGTTGAACTAGATGGAGAGGTGTCTTTTTATAACCAAATTAACTATGTAACTATCTAAACCTATTAATATACACTTTTTGAGATTTTTTTAAACAAAGACAGAACACATTTTGGCCTTAATTTATGAAGACATTTGATTTATTTATTTTTGTAATGGATATGTTTTATAGCAGAAAATAAAAAATATTGTTGTTTTTCCTTCAAACTTTTCTGTTTTTTTTCATTTATATAATAAAAAATAAAAAACCCAGTGGTGTTCAAATACCACCAAAAGAAAGCTCTATTTGTTGGGAAATTGTTGTGCAATTGCCAATTAAAGTAGCGCATTGCCAAAATTGAAAATAATGGCCTTGCCATGAAGATTCATGGTGTGCTGGTTATATATACTCTCATTAACTCAGCATGTTGCATTAAATTTGCTGCGAACGCCTGTGTGATTGTGGCCTCCATGAGTTCATTGTAATAAATGGTAAACCCGAGGAATTTCATTTTATTACATTTGCACCGAGGAATTTCTCTATTTTTTGCTTTACTTTGCATAACTCATGAACAAACAACAAGGGGAGAAGCACGAGTGAAAACACAAGCAGTAAGGCTCCATGTACACAGGACACTTCTGAACGATGGAAACTGACTGCTGGAAAACGTATGTTAAAAAACGTCTGTTTAGCCACATTTGGATAACGCATTTATGTGCGTTTATGAGCGTTTGCGTTTAGAAGCATTTTTTAAAGATAACCTCAGGAGACCTTCCAAAATGCCCAGAATGCACTGAAAAACAGTAAAAAATGAACTATTTCAGACATTTTGAGAGAAATAGAGAGAGCAGAAGCAGAAAGAGCAGTATTTATTGAGATTAGCTGTCTTTTTTTTTGTGGTGTTTGGATGTGTTCCAGCTCATTTCTGTGCAGAAATTATTGCAGCAGTGTCTAACATATTTTCTTTCATGTGAAACCTCATAGTATGGTGTACCAAGTCCATTTGAGTACCGGGAAAACACTTTGCATGCATTTTTCATGATAAAAAAGGCTCTGGACAGCATCTAGAAA